ACAATGAGGTCTCCAGAGTTTCTGATTGGAATACTGTCTTCTCCATTCAGTCAATTTTCTTACCCCACCTTTGTATAATTCCTGTTGTATTCAGAACAAAATGTCAGCAGAACTACTAACGGCCATTGTCATAACAAGCGCCAACTGATGTCCTCTTGGCTGGTAGCCATCTCAGAAGGTTAAGGAGCTCCATTGGTGTCACCAACCCCAACGTTTATGAATATGTATTTTTAACAGCGCGTCACAATGGCCTGGGCGAGGCTTTTCCTGGCTGCACAGACAACACAGCCCTCAGGAAGTGGAGAGTTCCCCAATGGGCCAGATCTATGGTGTGGATTATTCTGGAATATCCCATATAGAACGTATCCTTGTCTTCCTGCCTGTCCCCTCTCCGGCTCTGTCCGCCTCGGGACGTCTGAGGCTCCTTGGGGATGGCAGGAAACACATACTTTGATAAGGAGATTTCTTGTAGATGCAGCTGTCTGCTACTATTCAAACACATGACAGAATGGCGATGATATCAGGATAGCAGTGCGTGGAGTTGGAGGTCGTCCAAATGGAGTGTCTATTTTTACCGAAAAAGATCAACACTACCACACCGGACCTTACCTAACAAGGACAAAGATGAGCTAAAAGCATGACTTCAGACGAAACCATTTCTTTATAAGTTCTGGATAAAAAAAAAAGTAAAGAATAAAACCTCTGTTGGGTTGTTACTGCTGTCTGGGGATCCCCATTTATATGGGGGACACCTATGTCTGAGGTCCAGACCAAGAAAAGTTATGGATGATGAGAGCTATAAAGAAGACTAAGAGGTCTATTTATAAAACATCTGCATAGCCATTCATCCGGGGAATCTGCATGTACATTTGTTCTGTGTGAACTGAGCAAAGCAAATGTTCTATAGGCTATTTTCTCTTCTGAACAGTAGTAAAATACTGCAATATGGCCACAAGATGGAGCTGAAAAGCCAATAGCATTACAGCAGGCACCTGAGCCCACCTGTCAGACCTCATATAAAGGCAGCAGCAGTTCAAAGCTGAGGAAGACCCTCTTAGCTCTTTCTTGGCATTGGTCACATGACACAACAGAAGGGAGGACTTCCCTTCACTTTGAACTGCTGTCCTATTTAAGGTCTGGTGAGTGGGTTTCAGGGAAGGGGAGAGGGATCTGTACTAAGGGGGGGATTGGGCCTTGGAGTGAATGTGTAATTTTAGAGTGTACACTGGCCTGTGCACGACATACTAATGACCCCTGCACTCTCTGTGTTACATACTCCTGGCCCCTGCACTCTGTGCTACATACTCCTGGCCCCTGCACTCTGTGTTACATACTCCTGACCCCTGCACTCTGTGTTACATACTCCTGACCCCTGAAATCTGTCTGTACTCCTAACCCCTGAAATCTGCACTCTGCACTCTGTGTTTACTTAATACTTATCACTGCACTCTCTTACATACTCCTAACCACTGCAATCTGTGTGTTACATACTCCTGGCCCCTGCACTCTGTGTTACATACTCCTGATCCCTGGAATCTGTATTACTTACTCCTAACCCCTGCACTCTGTGTGTTACTTACTACTGATCCCTGCACTCTGTTACATACTCCTAACCACTGCACTCTGTGGTTTACATACTCCTGATCCCTGCACTCTGTGTTTTACATACTCCTGACCCCTGCACGCTGTGTGTTACCACTGACCCATGCACTCTGTTACATATTCCTGACTCTTGCACTCTCAGTTTTACATACTCCTTAGCCCAGCACTCTGTGTGTCACATACTCCTGACCCCTGCACGCTGTGTGTGTTACATACCCCTAACATCTGCACTCTGTGTTACTTACTCCTGAACCCTGCACTCTGTGTGTTGCATACTCCTGACCCTTGCACTCTGTGTGTTACTTTTCACCCCTGCACTCTTTTTTTACATACTCCTGATTATTGCACTCTCTGTTTTACATACTCCTTAGCCCTGCACTCTGTGTGTTACTTACTACTGACCCCTACGCTCTGTGTGTAATTCATTCCTGACCTCTGCACTCTACACATTATGCATTCCTGACCATTGCACTCTGTATTTAATCCTGCACTCTGTATTACGTACTCCTGCCACCTTCACTCTGTAATGCTGACTACTGCACCTTGTGCAATGCACACTCCTTACCCCCACACCCTGTACGATACACATTCCTGACCCCTGCATTCTCTACACTACATACTTCTGAGTCTTCTTTCACTCTCTGTGTGATGCACTCCTGAACCATGCATTATATACAGTACATTAGGTTGTACATTTTATACTCCTCACCTCTGCACTTTAAGTACATGATACATTCTTGGCCCTTTCTTTCTTTATGTTATGTTGTACATTACATATTTGTTTCCAAAGAAGTTATTGACTATGTTAACGACTATGGACTAGGTAAGGACTGTGAGATATGTGTGCAGTTAGTAGACTCGGGTCCTATTGAACCACTTGTCACCCGCTGTGGTTACATTTACTGCTAGGCTCAGCAACATACCGGTACTTCCCAAAGCACTTCCTGGTTTTGGGGCTCGTGTGCCTGTGCCCCCTGCTGATCTGTGCTGTGACTGGACACAGCATGAGTTTTTCAGCAGGTTACAGCCATTAATTTTAGCCACATACCTGCTGATCGGTTGTGGCCAATCACAGCATAGAGTTTTGTGTTTACAATTACACAGAACACCGATCTGGCTGTTTCCTCTCCCTGAAATCAACTCTGAGTTCATGGAAAACAGACAGATCCTGTGAGTAAAAGCAGCACAAATACACACTGTTAACCCCTTCATTACCCTTCTTGTCACCCATCAGTGTCATTAGTACAGTGTACAGTATTATCACTAATTACTGTATTAGTGTCACTAGTGACGTTATTGTCCGTTAGTGTTCCTCCCAGACAGAGTCACTTAGAGCCAGATTTCCCTCCACACTATCACAATCACACTATAAATCACTGATCAGCACCATTAGTAGTATAGCATCTATAGCTGCGTAAATTCCAGTATATTGTATATACACCATAGTTTGTAGATGCTATAAACAAATGCCATAATAGATGCTATCACACAAACCAAATAATATACACTTTTGGGGATTTTTTTTTTACCAAATACAATGTAGCAATATACATTTTTGGATAAATTAGATTTTATTGGATGTTTTATAACAGAAAGTGGAAAATGGATTTATTTTTTCAAATATTCTTTTTGTGTATATGTTCTGTCTCTCCAAGCTAAGCATTGAAAGTGTGATCTCTGTAACTTACAGTTGTGATGAGATAGCGATAACTCCAATCTTAGTTGAATAACACAGGCAGTGACTCGATCCAGATGACATATTGTAGATCTTGTGAAGTTTATTCCATAAACTGAAAGAATCTTACAACAATAAACATCTGATAGGTCAAAAGATCATAATGTGATCTGCTTGATGACATGAGGCTTGAAGTTGAAATGCCTTACTGGGAAAAGGGGTGGGCTATCTATACAGCAGGAACTAAACCAAAGGAAAGGGAGGAGCAGAGACAAAATACAGAGAACACTTAAAGGCATATAAACATGACAGTATATATTAAATATAACTGTCAGAGCTCCGGGTATGACCAGAGGTATGTGAACTGATGCAGGGAAACGCAGGCTTCAGATATGTTATAAACAATATAATTTATTAATACTAACAATACAAAAACGCAGTGCAATACTAAAACATAACACAGTGCAAACGAACCAAACCACCCACAGATAACAATACATACAATGCAAGCGTCGTCAGGCAGGCCGGGTCAATAACAACCGGGCAGGTAGGAACAGGAGGAGCAGGCAGAGAGTAGTCAGGTCACGAGCCGGGTACAGCAACTAACGGGCAGGTAGGTACAGGGGGTCAGGCAGAGAATGGTCGGGGTCACAAGCCAGGGATCAAACAGGAGAAGTCAGCAGAGGTCCGGATCAGGCAGGGTCGGCAACAAATCAGTCAGACAGGAACAGGAATGCAGGTAACAAGATACAGGGGCCCATAGAAAAACACACACCAAGGCACAGACTGCAGGTCTGGCCATCCCTTAAATACACCTCCGTAATCAGCTTCAGGTGTTTGGCTGACTGCAGGGTTGAGTCTCTGATTGCTGAGAGCACCCGCTTGCCAGCCCTGGTACTGCAGCCCACAAGGCAGGTGAGTCCCACCATTACTGGCAAGTCCATTCCTGACAGTACCCCCCCCCCCTCAAGGAGTGGCCTCAGGACGCTCCAAACAGTCCTAGCTGGGCAAAATGTTCCCCGCCCGGGTCTGGTAACTGGCGGGATATCAAAGACTGGCACATCGGGCTGGACTCCGGGCAGAGGCACATCGGGCTGGACTCCGGGCAGAGGCACATCGGGCTGGACTCCGGGCAGAGGCACATCGGGCTGGACTCCGGGCAGAGGCACATCGGGCTGGACACCGGATCACCAGGCAGAGAGGCGGGCGCTGGGCCCCCAGGCGGGGCGGCGGGTGCCGGGCCCCCAGGCGGGGCGCCGGGCCCCCAGGCGGGGCGGCGGGCACCGCGCCCCCAGGAGGAGTGGCGGGCGCCGGGCCCCCAGGCGGAGTGGCCGGGCGGGCGCCGGGTCATCAGGCACAACAGCGGGCATCGGGTCACCAAGCATCAGGTCATTTGGCTCACCAGCGGGCACTGCGTCATCTGGCAAGGCAGTGGGTACCGAGTCACCAGGCACGACAGTGGGTTCCGAGTCAACTGGCATGACCGCGGGCACTGGGTCAGAAATTGGATCGTCTGGCTCGACAGCGGGCATTGGGTCACCAGGCATCAGGTCACTTGGCTCGACAGCGGGCACCGCGTCATCTGGCAAGGCAGTGGGCTCCGAGTCACCAGGCACGACAGTGAGCTCTGAGTCAATTGGCACGACAGCGGGCACCGGGTCATCAGGTACCGGATCTTCTGGCTCGACAGCGGGCATTGGGTCACCAGGCATGACAGCGGGCACTGGGTCATCAGGCATTGGATTGTCTGGCTCGACAGCGGGCATCGGGTCACCAGGTATGACAGCGGGCACTGGGTCACCAGGCATCAGGTCATTTGGCTTGCCAGCGGGCACCACGTCAACTGGCATGACCGTGGGCACTGGGTCAGACATAGGATCGTCTGGCTCGACAGCGGGCATCGGGTCACCAGGCATGACAGCGGGCACTGGGTCATCAGGTACCGGATCGTCTGGATCGACAGTGGGCACCGGGTCATCAGGCATTGGATCGTCTGGCTCAACAGCGGGCATCGGGTCACCAGGCATGACAGCGGGCACCGGGTCATCAGGTACCGGATCGTCTGGATCGACAGCAGGCACCGGGTCATCAGGCATTGGATCGTCTGGCTCGACAGCGGGCATGGGTCACCAGGCATGACAGCGGGCACTGGGTCATCAGGCATTGGATCGTCTGGCTCGACAGCGGGCATCGGGTCACCAGGTATGACAGCGGGCTCCGAGTCAACTGGCATGACCGCGGGCACTGGGTCAGACATTGGATCGTCTGGCTCGACAGCAGGCATCGGGTCACCAGGCATGACAGCGGGCACTGGGTCATCAGGTACCGGATCGTCTGGATCGACAGCGGGCATCAGGTCACCAGGTATGAAAGCGGGCACCGGGTCATCAGGTACCGGATCGTCTGGCTCGACAGCGGGAACCGGGCCACCAAGCACGACAGCGGGCACTGGGTCATCAGGCATTGGATCGTCTGGCTCGACAGCGGGCTTCGGGTCACCAGGTATGACAGCGGGCACCGGGTCATCAGGTACCGGATCGTCTGGCTCGACAGCAGGCATCGGGTCACCAGGAATGACAGCGGGCACTGGGTCATCAGGCATTGGATCGTCTGGCTCGACAGCGGGCATCGGGTCACCAGGTATGACAGCGGCACTGGGTCATCAGGTGTGATAGGATCATCAGGGATCAGTTCATCAGGCTGGGTACAGACATCAGGCTGGGTAGAGACATCAGGCTGAAGTGCGGGTGCCGAGGCACCAGGCTGAACCACGGAAGGCAGGTTCTCAGACGGCAGGCTCACCGGTTTGGATACTGGCAGGATGGTACTGTTTGGAAAGAATTTTTGCTTTTTTCTGGTTTTAACTACTGGAGCACTGCAAGTAAATGCAGGTCTGCAAATGAATGGAGCAGCTGAGGACAGAGAAGAGCTGGAAGATGGAACAGAGGAGGATGCAGTTGCTACAGAGGACTTCTTTACAGGGTTAAAGAAAGGATAGGTGCAGCGAGTGGGAGCAGAGGACTGGTATGTGGTAGTTAGCAGAGTATACTGGGCCGTCACTGGGGTGCTGTCGGGGATGTAGGAAGAGTGCCTTGAGCGGAGGAATGACGTTGCAAGCTGACTGAGGCTGGGTGCAACAAGTCTGACCATGTCTGCAGTATGGGTTGAACAAAGCTGAGCTTACACAAAGCCTGTCTGGTCAATGACTGCACTGCGTTTATACAATCCCTTAATACCTGTGGTGAACATGCAGAATAACGCTCCAGAAAGTAATCCACATCATCCTCTAATAACCATACCAGGGACTCTACCTGGTCTGCACCAAATGGTGGCAAAAAGTCATTCCTGCTTTCAGGGGTACCAGATGAAGCCAACTCTACACAAACCTGAATCAAAGGTTGCACCTCAGAGAACTCTGTGCCCTGATCTACTAGAACATGAGCGATCCGTATGCATTCTAGCAGTTCATCCCGGGTATACTCCCTCAGAGTCTGATGAGCATATTCTCTGTCATCAAAAACCAGCAGCGGCAAATACACAACCTCATCGAGATCCATCCTTCCCAGCAACAAGCCAAGATGGCTTCCCTGTGCAGCCACTTCTGGTCAGGATTGGCCTTGGTGTAATGTCAGGGCTCCGGGTATGACCAGAGGTATGTGAACTGACGCAGGGAAACGCAGGCTTCAGATATGTTATAAACAATATAATTTATTAACCACTTGAGCTCCAGAGGATTTACCCCCCTTAATGACCAGGCCTCTTTTTGCTACTCGGCGCTGCACTAATTCAACTGATAATTGCGCGGTCATGCAATGCTGCACCCAAACAAAATTTACGTCCTTTTTTTCACACAAATAGAGCTTTCTTTTGGTGGTATTTGATCACCTGTGCGCTTTTTATTTTTCACGCTATAAACAAAAAAAGGCCAAAAATTTTGAAGAAAAACAATATTTTTTACTTTCAGCTATAAAAAATATACAGTAAACTCAAAGTTAGTTATAAATTTAGGCCAAAATGTATTCTGCTCCATGTTTTTGGTAAAAAAAATCCCAATAAGTGTATATTGATTGCTTTGTGTGAAGTTATAACGTCTACAAACTATGGTATAGATACTGCAATTTACGCCACTTTTCTGCTATACAACGCTGCGCTAGTTTAACGGACAATTGCGCAGTCATGCAATACGGTACATAAATGAAATTTACATCCTTTTTTTCCCACAAATTCAGCTTTCTTTCGGTGGTATTTGATCGCCTGTGCGGTTTTTATTTTTTGCGCTATAAAAAAAAAGGCTGACAATTTTGAGGAAAAAAAAACAATATTTTGGACTTTTTGCTATAACACATGTCCAGTAAAAAAAAATGCAAAAATTAAATTTAGTCATAAATTTCTGCCAAAATGCATTCTGCGACATGTCTTTGCTAAAAAAAAAACCCAATACGTGTAAATTAATTGGTTTACGTGAAAGTTATAGCGTTTACAAATGGCGGGAAAGATACTGGAATTTTTAATTTTTATTTATACTAATAATGGCGCCGATCAGCGACATATGGCGGCAATCAGCGACATATGACGGCGACCAGCGACTTATGGCGGGACTGCGGCGGACATTTTGACACTGGGGGGGAGCTGACTTGGGGTCACTGACATCCCCAGTGACACCAATACAGTGATCAGTGAAAAAAACCCACTGAAAACTGTATTAATGTCACTGGGGAGGAAGGGGTTAACATTTTTAGTGTTCACTGTGTGAGGGGAGTGTTTTACTAAGGGGGCGGGGGTGTGTGCTGGACGGGGGAGGGAGGGGGGAGCTGATCGAGGGAGAGAAACTGTATTCTCCCTCTGCAGCTTGGCGGCGAACTGTCACAGAGCAGGCTGTGTGTAAACAATGCAGCCCTGCTCTGTTTCAGTGTTTACCGCTCATCGCGGGAAAACGGCCGGTAAAAAACCGCCGTGACCCGGCGGCGGGGACCCGCTGCTGACACCCGTGGGACAGGTAGGGCGGGCGCGCGTGCCTCGCGCGCGCCCCCTGCCTGTTTTGTAGGCACACGTTTTAAAACGTGCTTTTGCCTACGAGCGCCGCCCTGCCACCGTTTATATGCGGTGGCTGGGCGGCATGTGGTTAATACTAACAATACAAAAACGCAGTGCAATACTAAAACATAACACAGTGCAAACGAACCAAACCACCCACAGATAACAATACATACAGTGCGAGCGTAGTCAGGCAAGCCGGGTCAATAACAATCGGGCAGGTAGGAACAGGAGGAGCAGGCAGAGAGTAGTCAGGTCACGAGCCGGGTACAGCAACTAACGGGCAGGTAGGTACAGGGGGTCAGGCAGAGAATGGTCAGGGTCACAAGCCAGGAATCAAACAGGAGAAGTCAGCAGAGGTCCGGATCAGGCAGGGTTGGCAACAAATCAGTCAGACAGGAACAGGAACAGGAACAGGAATGCAGGTAACAAGATACAGGGGCCCATGGAAAAACACACACCAAGGCACAGACTGCAGGTCTGGCCATCCCTTAAATACACCTCCGTAATCAGCTTCAGGTGTTTGGCTGACTGCAGGGTTGAGTCTCTGATTGCTGAGAGCACCCGCTGGCCAGCCCTGGTACTGCAGCCCACAAGACAGGTGAGTCCCACCATTACTGGCAAGTCCATTCCTGACAATAACAAAACCCAGTGGCGATCAAGTACCATCAAAAGAAAGTTCTGTTTGTGTGAAAATACAATGATATAAATTTCATTTGGATACAGTGTTGCATGACCGAACAACTGCCATTTAATTTAGAGTAGTACTGAATAGCAAAAAAATGCCCTGGCCAACAAGGGAGTAATACCTTCTGGAGGCTAAGTGGTTAACCACGCCCCTCCCACTGTTAGCACAGTTTGGCCAAACCCATAAATGACCTCATATCTCTCATCTGGGTTCCCCAAGTCTTTCACAAGCTTAGTAAAGCTTGTGTTTCCATTATGGATGGACTTTATCCATGCAAGGCTCATAACAGGGGTGGACGTAGCAGACCATGCAGTTGCACAGGAACCCTTTATACTAGATGTGGGTCAGATGTTTGCTGGGAATTCTCCCGATGTCATATTGACTTAGACACATGTAGGCAGGTGGCAGAGTGGGTCCCCCTTTAAGGTGCCTCTTCTCCCTGGGGGAAGGCTGGGAGACTAGGCAGGACCTAGGAGGGTAGTGGGTGAATCTGGGGAAGGAAAAAGAAGATGCAATTTCATCTGCTGTTCTCCTGCTCTCTCCCCTCCTGGGGGAGGGCAGGGTGCCCAGAGGACCTCCTCCTAGTACCAGGAGAAAGATAATAGAACCAAGGAGCTGGTCTACCTCAACATTTCCCCCATCCTTGGCCAGGAAGAATGTTCGGCATCTAACTGCAAGGACAAGAGCAGGGCCTGGGACTAAGAGTCCATTTGTCACTGAACTGTGTTGTGCTATTGGAGGCACTGTCAGTTGAGGCTTTCAGTAACAAACATTAACCACTTCTAGCCTTGTGGTGCCTTTATTCTTTAAGAATGCTGCTTGGTAGAGTGTAAGCTTGAGTTCTACTGGTGCTCTCTGGCTGTTGGTCCTGCAGAAGGATCCCAGTGTCTGGAAACCTTATGTCAGGCCTAAGAGAATTAAGTTGAAGACATCTCCCATTTTAACATCAGTACCACCTGGGGAGACCCGTGCCCTTTCGCTCTGAAACTTGGATCTGCTAACCCAGGACTTTGGCAAGTACCTTAACCCTTTCACCTCTCTCTGATATCTCTTTGCTGTGCTGTTGGTCTCTGTATATTTATATATATATCTTTAGTTACATCTTTTTCTGTAAATATTTTTATTGCATCCGTTTAACCTTTTAGTAATAAATCTTTCCTTCTGAAAGTGTTGAACTGTTTCTATAGCGCTTTATTGCAGTTTACGAATTCCTGCCTCTAAAGAGAACGCTGCTGTGTTTGTTTAACCCACTGTATAACCGGCCTGCGGTGACCGTTTTATACAGATTATCTCAACCATTATAGTGTTATAGCTGATAACACCGAGTTTCCTCTTTCTCTGTACAAAAAGGAGGTGGTGGCAGTGTGAAGGGCTAATTGCGTAATTAACCTGACCCAATAACAATCGATTCAGGCTGCTGGTGCATCGATTGTGGTCCAATTAGCTGGAAAATCGTTGTGCAGGGTGCAGCTGAGTGTGGCATTGTTACACAGGTGACATTGCGGTTTTAGATTGGCTAGTCCTTCGGTCGCGAGTTTGGCGAGAAGGGCTGGGGTCTGACGCCGCGATCGTGACAGATTGGTGGCAGCGGTGGGATAGTTGCACTAAGAGCTTCAGTGTAGTGTTAAAAAATTGTCTCTGCATTGAAGAATTGTAACCTTTGTGGAAACAGTCCTTAGAAACAAGCGGTGCATTTTATTTATAAATATATATATATATATATATATATATATATATATATATATATATAAAGATAGTGACATTGACACGTATTTACTGACATTTGAAAGAACGTGCCGTCAGTACCATGTGCCCCCAGCTTAATGGGCTCAGTACCTGACACCAGGGCTATGAGGCAAGGCCCTCTACGCGTTTGTTGAATTGCCAAAGGGGCAGGATGATGATTACGAAGTTCTAAAAGGTGCCATCATCTGGAAGTAGCAGATGACCCCGGAAGTGTATCGCAAGCTGTTCAGGTCCATGCAGAAGGGACCTGGGGACTCTTACACAGATGTGGTGAGTCGCTTACGCACCACATTCCGACAGTGGACTAAGGGACTGAAAGCTGACTCCTACGAGTCTTTGGAAGATCTCACGATATGAGATCAACTTCTGCACATCTGCCCGGCCGACATCAGACAGTTTGTCT